ATGAAATACACAGAATTTCGATTACAGTGTACCACATTTTCTCGGGTTGAGGGGTTCCACCGTGTGCTTCACAACCAGGTCCACTTGGATCAGTCGCACATCTTATACTTGGTAAAGTCTCGAGACAGAATACCACGATAGAGAGTAAAATCACAGACACTGACCACATGGCTAAAAAACGCGCCGGCATTGAACTGTCCGGATATTCGAATAATTCCCATATTCTCCTTTGAGTTTGGTTTTCGGGCAATACTGGTTTCTCTTCAGTTATATATCCCTCTTCGATCTCTAACCGCTGAAGATGTTCCTTACCAAGTTCAAAAAATCTGACCTCTTCCGAGAAAACATACAACGGAACACCGCTTGGCCGAACAAGTTTGCCATTAGACTGATAAAAAAATAATATGGCCTCAAACGATGAGCGATTTCTGTCGAAAAAATATTCATTGTTTTCGATGTCAAAGTAGAATTCTCTTTTCGCTGCACAACCGAGAAGTGTAGCCGGGAATTGAGAAAGCGTGCGTTCGTAGGTTTCAAACCTCAGGCCGCTAACATTGATAATAATCCTTCGTCCCTTATCATTGCTTTCTCCTCTAAGACATGGCTTTGGGGCCTGAACAGATGAATTGTTGCTCGCTTGTTCGCTGATGTGATTCAATCCAGGATTGATCTCCATTCGCTCTCCCAGATGGCAATAAAGCAATTGGAAAAACGAGCAATTGATGTCCTTTTAAGTCTCTGAGAGGTATCGCATAAATTCAGCGAACATGTAATTTCGTTGGGACGAATCGCTTGTCAGATCTTCATCGACGCAAACTCGTTTAAAATCGAATGGGTTGATGAAAGATTTCTGTTCGCTCTACCAGAGTGGGCGACATTCAGCAACGACATGACAGGTGCTAGGGTGAATACTGTTTTTATTGTTTTCTACGCACTGTCATTTTAGAATTGTAAATTTAAAGAAAGGCCACATGAATAATTCAAATAGATTAATGTATTCAGGAGAAGGAGATTTTCCGGACAAGTTGTTAACTCGTGTACATTCGAACACACCGATAAAGAGCCGACACGGTAGTAATGATATAACTCAACTTAAAGACACTGGCCATTGCTTATGAAAATTAAGAAACTCTACGAAGCGGTGCATTATTTCTTAGCTTCCGTCGAATTTTGTTAGCCAGGAGTTCTTTAAAGAAAGCTAATGAAATTCACGGGTGAAAAACAAAAAAGAAAGGTACAGTTGTTGTGTAAAGAGAATTTTGCATAACAAAAACGAATTAGAGCGAACATTATCATTTTAATGTGCGACCACATACTAGCTAATGCATTAAACCAAAATATACCTAGAACGTAAAAATAAAAATGTCATGAGTTACTGAAAGTAATGTAAATGCAATTTCCATTTTTGCGCAGCACATGACAATGTGTTACCACCGACATGGTAACTCGTTCTTAGAATAGATAAGAATGCAAAAACGACTTTTCGGAATCGTTTGCTTTTTATTCTGTCCGCTTAGGCTTCTCTCAAATACTATTAACATAAAATATTTACTTGATGGTACATCTTGTCGAAGATAACATCAATAATTACAAAACCTCCTCATATCCTTATAATTATAGGAATATTTCAATATGTACTGTGCTCACAAAAATTATTTCAAATCGCGCCGGCGAACAAGCTGTTTGCACACGTGCCGCGAAAATCAATATTGTTATATCACTTATTTTTCGTTCCTTTATTTTAATTCAAACCTTTTTATTGAGGAAAGATCGACAGCCAAATGTAATTATTGTAGAGAACGGCGGTTTATTTCGAGTAGGTGAATCAATTATTCATCACGACTCCAGGCTAATATTTATTCCTCAATTTATGAAATACTCCGCTTGACCAATTACTGAAATAAAATTTTCGCTGTTGATGGCTTTGTGGCATGGTTATATGAAAAGATTAATGTCTTTGGCTTGAGACTTCTCGATCTTTATTGTTTCTTTCGCACAAAGAACCGCAATTCGAATGTTTGGCGATAAAGAACGTAAGTTCATTTAAACAGTGATCGTGGTTTCACCATGATAGCGACAAAAAGAAATAAAACTCAATGCGACTTCTATTTCAAGCACGTTTTTTCTTTCTTTCTTTTTTTTCTTGCAACTGTTAATCTACTGTCATGCTAATTCGAGGAATTGTTGACCGAATAAAACACCGTCCTATTTCACTGCACTTCTGTTAAAGAACGATGGCGGGTCTTAATGCAGTCCCATTGAAACTTTTGAAACATGGGGTTTCACTCTTTCAAGAGCATTCTGTAATGTTTCGCCGTCGAAGTTCATCAAAACTTTGTAATATGAAGACAAACATTCACAGCGAATAAATGTGTAAATTAGTATACCAAAATTAAAAAACAGCGCTGAGGTATTGAGTTTCTGCTCGTAATGTGATTCAGATGTGGTCGCTGTCAGCAACTTAAATTTCCCATAATTTTAGAAATCAATATCAAATACAAGTGACTTAAAACGAGATTACATTTTCATCAGCGAGGTTTTTTAAGTCTTCAATATTTCATAATTTCTGGTGAAGATAAGAGGATAGATTAAATAAACATCTTCCGTTGAGATTCGTGAGGCTATGTAAAAAGGGCGAAATGGGGTGTCAGAAATAAATGTTTTCCTTACACTTTTTACCAAAAAGAGCGAACGCAAAATCTCTAACATTCTGTAGTGCTGAAAGAATCTCCTAATAACAGTATGTGGGGATTTTTTAATGGTCCATTCTTAAATTTGTCATATCTCAGTTCCAGGTAGCGTTTTAGACCGAGACAGCGATAAAAGAGAGTTGTATTAAATTGCGACCGAGCAAATCTTCCATCGTAATGTTGAATTTTCGCTGCCTGAGAAGGTCATAATCTGAAGAAACTGTTTAAGGGGTACTTTCATGGTTTCGACAAAAAGCTGTGTAGGAGGTTCACGGAAGAATAAAACACGCCCACACGATACAATTAAACGGCGTCGCGTGATACAAGCTACTGAGATCAGCCATTACGCACTGATACACAGAAAATGCCCCTATGTATAAATACATCTAACAACGTCCGACATAAAGAGGACTGGATAGAAATAAGGGAGTAATCTCAATAGAAACCATCAGGATTATAATATGGAATTCGATTGGACCTTTTTTCAAGTTACCAGACCGCTTGGAGTGCGATTTCACTGCATATAAATACAGCTTGTAGCATTATTTACAAAAACAAATAAAAAATAGATCAATAAAATTTTACCATCCCAAGCCGACCTTTTCTCAATTAAAAGAAAAAACGAAAAAAGTAAATCATAGGATGTTTCTGCGCGTTTTATTTTTGTCCAGATTTCTAAAATTTCTAACCTAAATTACAGTACAAGTGTAGGAACGGAATCGAATACGGCGATTCTTGATGAACTGGGGCGTAATCAGGAGTCTCCGCTGCAATATATTAGGAGTAAGGTTTATATTCAGATCCCTTTTTCATGAGAATATGTTCAAGCCTAAAATTTGTCGCAGTTTCTTTATTCTCATGAATGAGAGATCTAATAATATTCTTTTCTTCAATATCTTTAAGCTTTGGTTAACCCTTTCAACTCTAATAGTGTGCAGCATCTAATTTCTCCATACAATATCACCCCTGAATCACACATAAAGGTCACGAGGATAAAGACAATGATCACCAACTGAAGAGGCTCTTGATTTTTAAATAAGTAATCCTTCTTAGTAATATTGGAAGTGTATAAAGAACAGTACGGAAAAAATACAAACTGATGCAAGGGTGCAAAGCATTGAGGGAAATAAAACAGCTTAAACACGGTTTTACGCAGTTTTTGTTTGTGCCTTGCCTGGTTGCGATCATTTCGACGCGACATTACTAATATTTCACATCAAAATTATTATTTTTCTTGAGAAAAATAGGGCCTCGTAAGTAACCTCAACAGCGTAATTTCCTACACCAAACACCAGTTAGAAATAATCTTCGGAGACCAGTTAAGACAAATCAGAGTTCTTCACGGCGGGGTTTCTCTTGGGAAACATGTTCTTCGCTATTAAGGACAGGAAGTCAATAACATCCGGCAAACTCAATGTGAAGTCAAACGAGGTTTCCAAGAGATACAGTAAAATTCCGAAAATAAACTCCTCCGTGTATAAGCCCCCCAAATCTGAAACGCAAAAATAACTCCTACAATAAGACCCTCCGAATATAAGCCCCCGGGGGCTTGTATTTGGAAATTATCCTCAATTATACAAACCAAAGCAAACTACACATAATCACCATTATCAGGAAGGCTTTATTAGTCATAAAAGGATGATTCCGTGCATTAAAGCCGTGTGGTAAACAAGTGTTGAAGTTTATTGTCTTTTACGCAGTTCGCTCCTCACTCGCGCCTTGAATTCCTTCAGTCCGTGGACAAAGTATTTGCAAGGAAGTTCGATCCCGCCACCCTGAACCCAAATTCCCTCTGGTACTCCTCGCTTTTCACCTGTTATCTTTGCGGCGATAGATGGAATTGTTCTATCTTTGAGCAGGGGAAAAATCTGTGGCAGAGGTTCCCGGATGAACCTGAGCCTGAACTACGTTACCGTTTTTACTGTATTTCTGTTCTAATAAAGTTCATTGCCGTTGTGTTTGAACCTAGCATTTTCAGAGTGATTAATTTGTTACGAATTCCTGGCCAAAACCTTAATATTACCAGTTGCACATTCAAAAATGTTGACACAAATTTCCCTTCAATCATAAGCCCAGCCAATTTTAAAACGCAAATTCCCCTCCTATAATAAGCCCCTCCGAATATAAGCCGCTTCCAAAAATAAGCCCCTCAAAAAGGTCCTTTGAAAAATATAAGCCCTGGGGCTTATTTTCGGAATTTTACGTTATTTCAGCAAAACTTGAGAAGCAAAGCCTGGGATAGGAAATAGTGGTCCGTATTAATACAAGGGTTTCGATAATTACGTAATGTTTACAAACAAAAACTTGAAACACGGTAAATTCCTTGGTTTATTTTCATATCTGTGATCAGTTATGCCTTGAACAATATAGAGCGGTGAATCCTTGTTTAACCTTAACGAAGTTCAAGATTAACAAGTAATGTTTCATTTTCCGATTAACAAGCAACAAAATTACAAAGAAACCTACTTCCAGAAGCTGCCTGCGAACACAGACGAATTTTTGCATAATGTAGTAAAAATCACACGAAATTCTGTCCATATTCACCAAAAACTTAGCCAGACACACTACAAATTTATGTTTTTAATACTTCTTGATCAGACCGCCTTCGTTTGACATGGTGTCACCCTAAAAGATGAAATGTTGAAATCAGAAACTCCCAATGGAAACGTTTGCGAAGTAGGTAATAAAGCAGTAGTAAGATCCTCTCATTTACAAACTAGCCTGTATCAGGCACACCGTTTGTGTGGAGACCAGTCTTCCCAAAAAAACGGCCAATCGATTTCGGTCCCTCGCTTCTCTGGTCTAGACCCTGGCACAGTTTATCTCCCAACAACAGTCGGCGCCAACGCCAATAACACTATATTAACTCTTCCACCAGTTTCCAAACAGATTCATAATGAAAACCGCTTAGAGCCCCCTAGTCCGGGTGCTAGAGTGTAACGCCTCAACCGTGCATGTAAATAGCACGGTGGTTTGCAGAATGCGAGTTAAGGTTTTACCCCATGTTATTTAAGCTTGACTTTGGTCACATACCTCTGATTTTTCGGGTGGAGCTGGTACCTTTTCAATAAGCACAAGACTGGGCAACGAAATGGCTGTTTTGATAATTTTGTTTAACGTAACAGGAGCCGCGTCACGGTGTGTACCATATCAAGCTGAAGGGTGTTAATAAAGTTTTCTGTATGTGTGCGTTTATGAAACGTGAACCCATCATACACCCAACAATGCTGTGTTGCCTCATCTAAGAAGATTGGGTGACTATTAGTTAGTATAGATTGTGAGAAGTACCTTAGTTAAATGCTGCGTGGAATTCCTTTGTTTCCTGTCCCTCTCCAATTACAGTGATTGGTTGAAGAGGGTTTGCGGATTTGGTTAGGTAATTCTGTAATTAGGACAAGTAAATGAGACAGTAGTAAATTCTGTAAGAAGACATTCTGATTGTATCGTCAATTTCTAATCAATACGGGTTATAGCACTTAACATCCCATACAACTTTCCACCCATCAAGAAATATATCTGATGACGCCTTCAGGGCTCGTCATTTAAAAGCTTTTATCATGTCCCCCCAAAATCACACTTGAGTTAGCACGTTTAAACTGACACAGGAAAATGTCTCCTTTTGTGTAATTATCGTCCACCGAGCGAGGTTAGAATGACAAATTTAAATATGTTATTTGATGACTTTTCATATCTTTTTTTTCACTCAAAAGCCCTCTCGTTAGTTATAATCCACCATATATATTTTTGCTCGCGCGTGATTGGTCTGAACGCATCTTGTGATCTAGTATGCCCCAGCTAAAACTAAGGATGTTTGAGGATACACCACGAGTGATTCAACCCCAATTTTCTAACCCTGCGTCTAGTACGATGAAAGCGTTTGTTTTAGTAAAATTCAATTAACGTTGAAAGAGCGTTTAAGTATTGTTTAAGAAGAAGGGACATGTATGTTCGTTCATAAAGTCATACCAGAGAACACTGAAAAGTAAACATCTCACGCAAAAAACTGTAAACTGCTCGCAAAAATTTTCCCGCAAGTTACAAAAATTTTTCAAGGATAGTAAAAATGACAGTCTCCATTTGGCGCGAAAACATGCTCGTATATTTGTCCTTGGACAAATCGAAGTTCAAAGTTTTCCTCGAGCTTCGCTCCCGAAAACTGTTCGCATCTCGGAACAGATAATGTTTGCGGACAAATATGCGTACATACTTATTATGCCAAATAGAGGCTATTGGTCATATATTTCCAGTTGATACCATTTGCGATACGACAAATGTTACGAGATTTATATTATTTCACAGAGGTAATAGCTCGAGAACCTAACAAAAGACAGTGCTCGGAAATACTTACGTGGGCATAAGACAAACCATTCTTCTTTTCATTTGAGCTTGCGCCGCTCCCAACCCACACATAGCAGTGTTTTCCAGAATCCAAGATAAACACTAAAGAGAAATTCAGAAACACACAAAATTAAGGGTACGAGAAGTAGAGCATATTACGACAGCGCTTAGTTCAAACCGCAGTTTCAAACAAGAAAGAAGTGAAG